GCCATTTTCGGCCTCTGGAGGACTTCCGACGGGGTGGGGAAGGCCGTTTTCACCCTCCCCAGACTCCTAGAGAGGTCCTGTGACCAGGTGAGAAAGAAAAACGGGCCTACCGGGCCATCGTATGCCAGGAGCGGGGGGAGGGGTGGTTGCGCATGCATGCGCTGGAGGGTGCATAGAATTATGGGGTATGGGCACACATGTGCCCCCCCCGGCACACAATGGCAAAAAGGTTAGCCATCACTGGTATAGAGTCTTTTTCAGCTAGTTGCTAATTGTCACCAGCAATACCTGTGCTCAGCTTGCTATTCTAACTTCCAATGGCAGAGATTCACCGTTCCTACTTCTCAACTGTACTATTCTTTCCAAGCACTAGAATCCAATGATACCACTGCATCTATCAAGATGTCACCCAAGGTACCAACCGCCACAAGAGTTTCTGGAGCAAGTAACCGATCAGAATGAATCACTATGTCCCTTCCGATTGACTGACTGATTGATCGATAGAACACAAATACTTCTTCTGCAGAGAGAAAGCACTCCCTACTTTGTAGATTTGTGACACGTTGTTGTGGCCCCGCCCTCTGAGCCTGTCCCATCGGAGGAAGAAAGCTCCGAGCATGAGGAAGAGGAGTCAGCCAGGCCTCCCTCTCCAGGCCCCTCCCCTCTGGCATTGTGTCAAGTGCCGGCCGAGGGAGAGGAGACAGCTGATTCGGATCAGAGTGATAGAAACATCATTCCTGGACGCATGCCTCCAAAGGCGTGATAAATGTTTGCAGCAGCTTAGGAGGCGTGCTAGGGATTAGAACTGAGTCACTGGACCACACACCAGAGACTATATAATAGAGGGTAGTGGTCAAAGGATCCTTGTGACGAACAAAAGTAAACCTTGGATAGTCACTAAAGCCTCGTCCGGAGCTGCTGAGAGAAAGATTTAAAGTGTCAGACATTTGGACTCTTGAGTATTTGTCTTTCTGTTTTACTTTGAAAATAAAGTCACTTGGCAGACGGTGTGTCTATCGCTGCCAAGTGGAAGATAAGAACTGGGTGCGTTCCAAAGTGTTTCCTTAACCCTCGACTGGCTGTGTGTGTGTGTGTGGGTACGGGGACAGATCACACGTACCATTTTGTATGCAGCTGAAGCTCAAACACTTTGACCACCCAATGAGAAGAGAGGTCTCCTTGGAACAGACATTGGGAGACGTCTCCCTGACGTTGGGAGAGACGGAAGACGATAGGAGAAGAGGACGGCAGAGGATGAGATGGAGAGGTAGTGTCATCGACACAGCGAACATGAATTTGAGCAAACTGTGGAGGCAGCGGAGTAGTGGTGGGATTCAGCCAGTTCGGGCCGGTTTGGGTGAACCGGTTGTTAAATTGCTGGCTGGATCCGCCCCTTCCTGCCCCGCCCCTTTCAGGAGTCCCCACACGCCCCGTTTTGGCTCCCAGGTAAGTGCAGGGAGGCCTACTAGGCCCAAAACAGGGCACAAGGGGTGTGCGGTGTGCCCCAACCCCCACCCCGTAGCCTGTTTTTGCTCCCAGGAGGCTGCAGGGAGGCCTGTTAGGCCCAAAATGGGGCATGGGGGTATGGCGTGGTCCCCCCATGGCCCATTTTTGCTCCCAGGAGGCTTCAGGGAGGCCTACTAGGCCCAAAATTGGGGGTGGGGGCACCCCCTCCATGGCCCATTTTTGCTCCCAGGGGGTGCAGGAGGCCGAGTGCCACCTGTCACACCCCCTGGCCACACCCACCATGGCCACGCCCACCCAGCCAGTCATTAGGGCAGAGAACCAGTTGTTATATTATTTGAGCCCCACCACTGCAGTGGAGGATGGAGTGGGAGGAAGGGGACTGGTCTACTATGGTCCATAGCACACCAGTAGTGACTGAACCCCAAGGAACTGTTGTGCATGAACTTTAATAACGTCAACGTTACAATCCTTGCCAGATGTTTTCGAAGGCCAACTACCCACCAAACCTGTTGAGGCTGCAACTCCCAGAATCTCCCAACAGCTTGGAGGTTGCAATCCAAACCCTCCCTGGAAAGCATCAGGTTGAGGTAAAGGAAGTCAAATGCACCAATATGCATAGGAAGGAAACAGACATTTGTACCCATAGCTTAATCTTTTAAGTTACAGAAAAAGATTGCATCAAAACTCTTGTCTTTTCCAAACTCAAGGACTGACAATAGGATCGAATGATGTAGCCCACAAGAGATCTGACGGGGGGTAAACTAGCCACCACAAAGAGCAATAGGATGAGCCTTGGAAACCCCACAGCAAGGTTCTCCAGATGTTACTCAGCTCCACTTTGCATCCTTCCCCAACCCCCATGACCTCTAGATTGGGGTGGGGGGGGTCTGTCCAACTTTGGTAACTTTTAAGATCTGTAAACTTCCAACTCCCAGAATACCCCCAGCAGTCATGCTAGCTGGGGAATTCTGGGAGTTGAAGTCCATAGGTGGAACTCAAACACCATCAGAAAGGCCACAAGTTGTTCATATATTTGCTTTATACAACCAGCACCTACCACAAGAAAAGGGATAATCATTCTGGACCGATTGATGAGGACAAACAAAGGACATCCCTCCTGCAATCACATCCCCTACTTAAAGAACAGGTAGACACTCCTGACCAGGAAGTCTTTACCACAGCTTCAGTTGGTGCACCAGCTGCAGTCTTACCTGGAGCAGGATACATTGAAGATGTCAGTCATGCTCTTGCTACCTCTTGATCTGATCAATGTTACTCACTCTGCGTGTAGCTGCTCTTTGAAGATCACCCAGAAACTTTAGCTGGTCCAGGGTGCAACAGCAAAGGTTTCAGTACTGCCCCGTTATGAATTTTCTACATGAATTATCGTATTTTTCGGAGTATAAGATGCACCTTTTTCCCCCCAAAAAAGAGGGTGAAAATCTGGGTGCGTCTTATACTCTGAATGTAGCTCTGCCCAGCTTCTCATCCGGAGGTTTCAGAGGCTGAAAAAAGCATCAGAAATGAAGCTTCAGAAAAGAAGCCCCCAAACAGAGCTTTAGAAAAAAAAAAGCCTCCAAACAGAACTTCAGAAAAAAAGCCTCCAAACAGAACTTCAGAAAAAAAAGCCTCCAAACAGAGCTTCAGAAAAAAAGCCTCCAAACAGAGCTTCAGAAAAAAAAGCCCCCAAACAGAGTTTCAGAGGCTTTTTTTTCTGAAGCTCTGTTTCAGAGGCTTTCAGAGGCAGGAAAAAAAGGTTTTTCTGATACAGAGTTTCAGAAGTTTCAGAGGCAGAAAAAAAAGCAAAAAAAAGAGCAAGGCACAGAGCTCACAACCAAGGAACCTGTTGCTAAAATTCACCTCTGGGGACAGCTGATTGGGGGTATTCCCGGAGGCCGATCCACCTGCCAATCAGCTTTTTTTCTTATTTTCCTCCCCAAAAACTAAGGTGGGTCTTATACTCCGAAAAATACGGTAATACAGGTTCCCAAGTGCAATTCAAGATGTTGCTGCTACCTAAGGAACTTCTATATCAGGGGTGTCCAACCTTAGTAACTTTAAGATCTGTGGACTTCAACTCCCAGAATACCCCAGCAACCACGTTTTGGATCCGGATCTCTTAGAGACTTTTCCTACCCTGTTTCCCTGAAAATAAGACCCAACCGGAAAATAAGTCCTAGCATGATTTTTCAGGATGCTCGTAATATAAGCCCTACCCTTAAAATAAGCCCCAGTTAAGATTGTCAGCCAGATGGATGCATTTAGTACCGTATTTCTCCCAAAGTAAGACCTAATCAGAAAGTAAGCCCTAATGCATCTTTTGGAGCAAAAAATTAATCTAAGACCCGGTCTTATTTTCAGAGAAATACGGTAATTTCCATCACTGTTACCTGAAAAAATAGGGAGGACCTGCTAAGGATCCACATCTACCACAAAATAAGGTGTGAAGGAACTTCTGGGTGAGTATTTTTCTGTAGCAGCCCCCTGTTTTCAATTGTTTGCACCCAAAGAGTGCACGAACCCCATCCTTATTTCCTTCCAGAAGCTGGTGAAAATGTGGTTTTGGAGGACCGACTTAATGTGATGCCATTTCTTAATGTTTATTTTTGCATTTGAAACCTCATTTAATTTTGATTTGTACCTTGTTCTTCAGCTTTTGCACAAAGACACAAAGAGTCTGGCTATTTTCAGCTGGTACGATAAATTTTCAAAGTTTGCCATGAACGTAGCTTAGAAACTGGAAAACGTATTCTCTCCTTGACAATATCTATTCACATAATTATGTCCTTTCTCTGCATAACAACGCTTTTATAGAGAACAGGAACAAAACCTGTTGCAGATAAAAGATTGGTCAGAGCTTCCCCACACTCAAAATGGTTAAAACATGTATAGGTAGTCCTCGACTTACGACCACAATTGAACTCAACATTTCTGTTGCTAAGTGAGATAGTTGTTAAGTGAATTTTGCCCCATTTTATGACCTTTCTTGCCAGAGACGTTAAATGAATCACTGCTGTTGTTAAGTTAGTAACAGGGTTCTTATGTGAATCTATGAGCCGTGGTGGCGCAGTGGTTAGAGTGCAGTACTGCAGGCTACTTCTGCTGACTGCCGGCTGTCTGCAATTTGGCAGTTCGAATCTCACCAAGGCTCAAGGTTGACTCAGCCTTCCATCCTTCCGAGTTGGGTAAAATGAGGAGCCAAATTGTTGGGGACAATAGGCTGACTCTGTAAACCGCTTAGAGAGGGCTGGAAAGCAGGTCACCAAAGGATCACATGACCCTGGAACACCGCAACTGTCGTAAGTACATGCCAGTTGCTAAGTGTTGGAATTTTGAACAAGTGGGGATATTTCAATGGTCATCAGTGTGAAAAGTGACTTTTTTCAGCATCGGTTGTAACTTTGAATGGCCACTAAACAGATGGTTGTAAGTTGAGGTCTACCTGTCCATCATTCTCATCAGGCAAGACATACCTCTATTCTTTGTGTTTTCATCTACATCAGACATTACGGTCATGAAGGAGCTTTACTGACCTTCAGAGGCGAGATGTGAGACTGTAGGACATATCCATGGACATTTTCTATCTGCGATAAGTTCTTTTCAGAAACGTGGACTAGTTCTGGACCTCTCACTTCATGGGTTAAACGAGGTAAACTATGGTCATGTGGAGCATCTTCATCTTGATAATGATACTTCTGGAAGGTAGAAGGGGAAAAATATATGAAGGAACTGGGAGAAGAAAAACTTGAATTTTGATCATGACAAGGTAGTTTGAAAAGGTCTTTTTGAGTGGATCGCACTAATGACTAATAAAACTGCCATCAATGCAGATGCACTTCACCATGTAAAATTGCTGTCAGTCCTACCCCAACTTTGTTCTCTAGAAAAGAAAGACCCTCGACTCCATGCCGAGTAAAAGGTATACTTTTACTGAAAGTTAAGTGGACTACAATAGAGCAAAGCCAGAACTAAGTATTCGCGCGGCAAATTCCTCTGATTAACTTTACCCCCCCAAGTTAGTTTCCTTCCCACTTCCTCTCCTTTGCAGGTCCATATTTTCCAATTAATTTTGAATAACTTGTTTTGGGAACTGACGCTTCCACAGCGGGCTAGTTAATGAGCTGTTAGCTGTTACATTCTGATCTCCTGGTTTGGCTTTGACTTGTTGTCTCCAGAAAACATAATGAGCGGTCAGCTTCCCTCACCATCCAGCTGCCTCCCCCTCCCCTCCATAGTCAATAGCAGACTGGCAGCTAGCATTTGCCAAGCTCAGCATAAGATAGCAGTTCTGACAACTCTTCTTTGCAACCATCATTCTTGGACTGCATGGTCAGTTCTTGCTACCACCAGTAGGACAATGAGAAAAGGACAAGTGTAAATGTCACCTTTAGGCCACCAATAGCCTCCCACCGACCAGTACGCTCCCACAGAGAGGGACTCCTCAGGGTGCCGTCAGCCAGGCAATGTCGGCTGGCGACCCCCAGGGGGAGGGCCTTCTCTGTGGCAGCTCCCGCCCTCTGGAACGATTTGCCCCCGGAGATGCGAAGGATATCGGATCTCCGGGTCTTTCGCCGTGCCCTGAAAACTTTTCTTTTCCATCAAGCAGGGCTGGCATGAACACCCCCCCCCCTTTTAAAAGTCTTTTTTAGTTTTTTAGCTTTTAAATTGTCAATGGGTTTTAATTCGAATTGTTTTAAATTTGGGCCAAAGTTATGTAATTCTGTTAATAATTTTAAATTTTGTATTGGTACGTGTTTTAGTTCTGGCTGTGCACCGCCCTGAGTCCACTAGGAGAAGGGCGGTATACAAATTGAATAAAATAAATAAATAATAATAAATCACCAGCATCATCTTTCTTCCTCTGCATGATACAGAGGGAAGAAAGTTAGTTGATTTACAGTATTTCACCAGCTTACCATGCCAGTACAGCTCACAACAGATCTTACAGTTCTGCCTGTAAAACTAACGTTTAGCCATTTTGCATAATCGGTTTGCATGAAAACATTTGGAACCTAACAATTTAAGAGGAAAAAAAAAAAACGAGCTTTGGAATTTATGAAGCTGGTTCTGTGGGAAACACAGCATGCTAATTCCAGTAGAATCAGAAATAACAGACAGTCAGCCTTAGCAAGTAATGACAAGCTACTTACTTGCAAACAAACCCCTTTTCTTTCTTTTGTTTAATAAAAAGTTTTTTATTTTTTATTTTTTAAAAAAACATGACTTCATTAATCAATCATCTGGGCACAAATTTTTGTTCCTTTTCAAACAGGGTAGGAACAATCCAGAAGTGGGTTTCAGCAGGTTCTGATCAGTTCTGGACAACCGGTAGCGGAAATTTTGAGTAGTTCGGAGAACCGGTAGTAAAAATTCTGACTGGCCCCGCCCCCATCTATTCTCTGCCTCCCAAATCCCAGCTGATCGGGAGGAAATGGGGATTTTGCAGTAACCTTCCCCTGGAGTGGGGTGGGAATGGAGATTTTACAGTATCCTTCCCCTGGAGCGGGGTGGGAATGGAGATTTTACAGTATCCTTCCCCTCAGTGGTGAAATCTAAAATTTGTTACTACTGGTTCAGTGGGCGTGGCTTGGTGGGGGGGGGGTAATATGACTGGGTGGGCGTAGCCAACTTTTTTTTTTTTTTTTACTTTTAAAAACATTTTTTCTACAACCTCTTCGGCCGAAGAGGTTGTTAAAAAATGCTTTTAAAAGCCTCTGACGATCCCAGCTGAGCCGCACAAACATCAGAGGCTTTTTTTTTTTTACTTTTAAAAGCATTTTTTCCGCCGAAGAGGTTGTAGAAAAAATGCTTTTAAAAATAATTTTTAAAAAAGCCTCTGATGATCGCGCGGCTCAGCTGGGCATGGCGGGGGGTGAGCAGGGATTTTTGCTACCGGTTCTCCAAACCACCCCCGCCTCCATCGCTACCGGATTGGGCGATTCGGTCCGAACCAGAAGCATTTCACCCCTGCTTCCCCTGGAGTGAGGAAGGAATGGAGATTTTACAGTATCCTTCCCCTGCCACTCCCACCAAGCCACGCCCACCAAGCCATGCCATGCCCACCAAGCCACACCCACAGAACCGGTAGTAAAAAATTTTGCAACCCACCACAGAAATAGTCTTTTATTCACATGGGTAAACCAAAAAACAAATGTAATTAGTCCCAACAGACCAGAAATCCAAATTGTTTGCTGTATCCTAAAAACGAATGGTTGTCCGCGACAACCGGCCACTCCCAAACCCCTATTTATTTCCCACCCAGGGAGGGACTCTGTCTGCTTTTCCCTGAGAGCCGGCTTATTGGTTTCCTTTGCTCTCCTCTCCTTTCCTCTCTGCGCATAAGTGCATCTGGGATGGGCCCCACCTGTTCCTCCCCCTCACTCAGCTCAGGCCCCAAAGACAGCTGCCCCTCCACCTGGGGGAGGACGGAAGGCCCCGGCTCTGCCTCTTGCCTCTGATGCTGTTTCAAAGGCTCTGAAGCGGGCTCGGGCCCTCCCTCCACCCTCCACCTCCACCTCCTCCTCGTCAGACTCTGCGGCTAGCTTTGCTGGCAGCCGACAGGCACCAGTCTAGTCTAATAGTGAAGGCATAAACCTGGCAGACAGCGAGTTCTAGTTCTGCATTAGGAATGAAAGCTAGGTGGGTGATTTGGGGCCATCACCAGGAGACAGCGAGTTCTAGTTCTGCATTAGGAATAAAAGCTAGGTGAGTGATTTGGGGCCACCACCAGGAGACAGCGAGTTCTAGTTCTGCATTAGGAATGAAAGCTAGGTAGGTGATTTGGGGCCACCACCAGGAGACAGCGAGTTCTAGTTCTGCATTAGGAATGAAAGCTAGTTTTCCCTGAGAGCCGGCTTATTGGTTTCCTTTGCTCTCCTCTCCTTTCCTCTCTGCGCATAAGTGCATCTGGGATGGGCCCCACCTGTTCCTCCCCCTCACTCAGCTCAGGCCCCGAAGACAGCTGCCCCTCCACCTGGGGGAGGACGGAAGGCCCCGGCTCTGCCTCTTGCCTCTGATGCTGTTTCAAAGGCTCTGAAGCGGGCTCGGGCCCTCCCTCCACCCTCCACCTCCACCTCCTCCTCGTCAGACTCTGCGGCTAGCTTTGCTGGCAGCCGACAGGCACCAGTCTAGTCTAATAGTGAAGGCATAAACCTGGCAGACAGCGAGTTCTAGTTCTGCATTAGGAATGAAAGCTAGGTGGGTGATTTGGGCCATCACCAGGAGACAGCGAGTTCTAGTTCTGCATTAGGAATGAAAGCTAGGTGAGTGATTTGGGCCATCACCAGGAGGCAGTGAGTTCTAGTTCTGCATTAGGAATAAAAGCTAGGTGAGTGATTTGGGGCCACCACCAGGAGACAGTGAGTTCTAGTTCTGCATTAGGAATGAAAGCTAGGTGAGTGATTTGGGGCCACCACCAGGAGACAGCGAGTTCTAGTTCTGCATTAGGAATGAAAGCTAGGTGAGTGATTTGGGGCCCCACCAGGAGACAGCGAGTTCTAGTTCTGCATTAGGAATGAAAGCTAGGTGGGTGATTTGGGGCCACCACCAGGAGACAGCGAGTTCTAGTTCTGCATTAGGAATGAAAGCTAGGTAGGTGATTTGGGGCCACCACCAGGAGACAGCGAGTTCTAGTTCTGCATTAGGAATGAAAGCTAGGTGGGTGATTTGGGGACATCACCAGGAGACAGCGAGTTCTAGTTCTGCATTAGGAATGAAACTAGGTGGGTGATTTGGGGCCATCAGCAGGAGACAGCGAGTTCTAGTTCTGCATTAGGAATGAAAGCTAGGTGAGTGATTTGGGGCCATCAGCAGGAGACAGTGAGTTCTAGTTCTGCATTAGGAATAAAAGCTAGGTGAGTGATTTGGGGCCACCACCAGGAGACAGCGAGTTCTAGTTCTGCATTAGGAATGAAAGCTAGGTAGGTGATTTGGGGCCACCACCAGGAGACAGCGAGTTCTAGTTCTGCATTAGGAATGAAAGCTAGGTGGGTGATTTGGGGCCATCACCAGGAGACAGCGAGTTCTAGTTCTGCATTAGGAATGAAAGCTAGGTGGGTGATTTGGGGCCATCACCAGGAGACAGCGAGTTCTAGTTCTGCATTAGGAATGAAAGCTAGGTGGTGATTTGGGGCCATCACCAGGAGACAGCGAGTTCTAGTTCTGCATTAGGAATGAAAGCTAGGTAGGTGATTTGGGGCCACCACCAGGAGACAGCGAGTTCTAGTTCTGCATTAGGAATGAAAGCTAGGTGGGTGATTTGGGGCCATCACCAGGAGACAGCGAGTTCTAGTTCTGCATTAGGAATGAAAGCTAGGTGGGTGATTTGGGGCCATCACCAGGAGACAGCGAGTTCTAGTTCTGCATTAGGAATGAAAGCTAGGTGAGTGATTTGGGGCCATCACCAGGAGGCAGCGAGTTCTAGTTCTGCATTAGGAATAAAAGCTAGGTGAGTGATTTGGGGCCACCACCAGGAGACAGCGAGTTCTAGTTCTGCATTAGGAATGAAAGCTAGGTGAGTGATTTGGGGCCATCACCAGAGACAGCGAGTTCTAGTTCTGCATTAGGAATGAAAGCTAGGTGAGTGATTTGGGGCCATCACCAGGAGACAGCGAGTTCTAGTTCTGCATTAGGAATGAAAGCTAGGTGGGTGCTTTGGGGCCATCACCAGGAGACAGCGAGTTCTAGTTCTGCATTA